CAGCTTCTTGCTAACGTGCACACCAGGAGGGAGCAGGTAATGGCTCCAGTACTTGGGTCTCTGCCACCGATGTTAGACCCAGATGGAGTTCCCAGCTCTTAGCTTCGACTTGGTCCAGCGCTGGCTATTGTGGGCATTCGGGGAGTTGAATCAGCAGATGGGAGATGTCTTGCTCTCTTTCCCTATCTCTCTGCCTTTCAAATAAGTAAATAATGTTTAAAAGGTACTTAATGCTACTTTTTAAAAACAGAAATACTTGGAAATATGTCCAGAAACTCTTTCTCATGATCACTTCATTTTTTTATTACCCAAGAGTTTATATTTCTCTGTGTTATCGTTATTTTTGGTTTTTCTTTTTATTCTTCCTTATTTATTCTATTTGCCTTCTGGCTATTTTGATACCTTTCTGAAACTTTCCGTTAAAAGATGAACAGAAAAATAGAGTCATTAAATCTTCTGCTTTCCCTGAAGACTTTGTGTGATACCCATGTTATCCCATAGAATATCACTGAATATGCCTTTGGTCAAAAGTGGCGATATATGATAATAGAATTATCAGCCTTTTATTCTGAGAATTAAGCAACTTGATTATCAATTCTCTAAAATAAAAGTATCTGTAGAAGTTTGGATGTTTACTAATACAAAGTTAGTCTTCAAAGGTTTATTTCCCTTTTCCTTTTTTCTCCCAGGAGGAAGAACTAGTACTTTTCTGTCTCATGGCATTAATCACCAGGCTAATGCTCACCAGTCTCTTACAAGTTCCTGGCTCAGCACCGATCCTGCAAAAGACCGAATTGAAATCACCAGTTTGCTTCCCAGTAGGACTTTGTCTGTGAACACTCTGGATGTTTTAGGTCCTTGTCTTGTTTGTGGAACTGATGCAGAGGCAATTTACGTTACCAGACAACTGTTTTCCTGAAAGTGTGCAACTACAAGATTTCAGGTACAGCGTTCAGTTAGCCTTTTGAAACCCAACCTGTGTACTAAGTTTTATTATCAGAAAATGTGAGATTTGCAGCAGAAATATCAATAAACTATTGTTAACATCAATGTTCAGTTTTGGCTTTGTTAGTTGGCTACTCTCCCCCAGCAGTTACAGAATCTGATAAATGACTGATGGTAAACAGTTTGGAACATGTGCATGAACATCAGAGGGATCCTTGTGCTGATGAATATGTTGCCTTCAAACAGCCCGTTATTGACAGCTCATGGCACCTCTTCATTATTGACGCTGTGGAACTTAACACTGTCAAGCCACCACTGGGTTCCAGTAGTCAACAGTGTAGGAGTATACCCCTCCATGGTGGCACTAGCCAATAATGACATTCTTCTTGCAAATATTTTCCTCAATCCTTCCACATTTTATTTTAACAATTTTAATAAACATTTTCAAGGTGAATAGAGCAAAAATGACAAATTTGTGGCTCAAAAATTTTTTTAAAGGTTTATTTATTTGAAAGGCAGTTAGAGAGAGACGGATCTTCTATCCACTGGTTTACTCTCTAAATGGCTATAACGGCTGGGGCTGGACCAGGACGAGCTTCTAGGTTTCTCATATGGGTGCAGGAGCCCAAGCACTTGGGCCATCCTCTGCTGCTTTCCCAGGGGCATTACCAGGGAGCTGGGTCAGAAATGGAGCAGCGGACACTCAAATCAGCACCAATATGAGATCTCAGCAATGCAGGCAGCAGCTTAACCCACTGTGCCATGTCACTTGCCCTGAAGTCAGATTTTTTTTAAGGTGAAAATGTTTTTGACAAGTTCATTTATTAGGATAGATTTGAACAGAACTCTTGTCAACTACTTAGATCTAACTATTTTTCTTGAAAGAGATAAGGGAAAATGGGCTTTTCCTAAGGGTTTTTACTTTTGTTTATCTTTTCAATATACTTAAAAATTACCAAACTGAACATTATGTAATAAAGCACAATTTGATATTAATAAGTAAACTGACTTCCAAACTACATTTTGAAACAAGTATGATAACAGTATGATACTGTGGTAAGGATGTGGTAAAAGTGAAGAATTCTGCTATCTTTATCCTTATCCAAATGTTAATAATGGTCTAACATGTGGTGTTTTAAGACAGTTTCATGAGATTGTCCAGGGTTTATTAGATTAAATGCATAATTGATATAAGACCTTAATGACAAATTATTGCTGTTGCACAACTGAAGGGTGTGTGTTCATTTATTTTATAGTTCCAGTAATAGAAATCATGGTATAAAGTTTTACTCTTCTGTCCTAATAATTATATTCCATTTTTTGGGGTGCCACTTCAAGGGTTTTTCAGTTTTTGTCAATACTTTACAATGACACATGTTCACACACACATGCATACACCCACACCCACACCCACACACACATATATATATTTAGGTAAAAGAACTAGAGAAGGGAAAATATATTACTGATAAGAAACGTTATTGTTTCTGGTTTTATTGCTGCGACTACTTGTTTAAGACTGCCCTTGCAGGGAACAGCACTGTGGCACAGCTGTCTGCAGCACTGGCATCCCATTTGGGCGCCGGTTCGAGTCCTGGCTGCTCCACTTCGATCCAGCTCCATCGGGGGAATGAACCAACAGATGGACACTTTCTCTCTCTCTCTCTCTCTCTAATTCTGACTTTCAAAAACAAAGACTTCTGTTTTAAAAAGTAATTCATTACAGAAAAGTAAATATAAAGAAAATTTTAAGTACTTATTGTCTAAAACAATTTTTTGATAGCCCTCTCTATCTATCAGTATATAAGACTTTTATATAAAAGTGGAAATACATTTTTTTTAAAGATTATTTATTTGAAAGGCAGAGCTACAGAGAGGCAGAGGCAGAGAGAGAGGGAGAGGTCTTCCATCTGCTGGTTCACTCCTCAAATGGCTGCAACGGCCGGAACTGAGCTGATCAGGATCCAGGAGCTTCTTCTGTGTTTCCCACCCAGATGCAGGAGCCCAAGGACTTGGATCATCTTCCACTGCTTTCCCAGGCCATAGCAGAGAGCTTGATCAGAAATTAGCAGCCAGGACTAGAACCAGTGCCCACATGGAGTGCCGGCACTTCAGGCCAGGGCTTTAACCTGCTGTGCCACAGTGCCAGCCCCTCAACTACTTTATCAGTTATAACACATACCCAGTCTTATTCCATCTCTGCTGCTGTCCATCCATTCCGCACCCCTCCACTTCTGCTCTGGATTTTTTTAAAACAAATTCTATATCTCACATTTCATTCATAATTCCCTACTTTGCAGCTCTGAAGAGTCAGAACCCCCCTCTTCAGAAGTATAATACCTTTTGCATGCCTGTGCTACACTATTATTTCATAATATCACATATCTAAGATTATCTTACAATTTTTTTTTTTTTAAAGATTTATGTATTTGAGAGGCAGAGTTACAGACAGAGGGAGAGACAGAGAGAGGTCTTTCGTCCTCTGGTTCATTCCCCGAATGGCCACAATGGCGGGAGCTGGGCTGATCTGAAGCCAGGAGTCAGGAGTTCCTCCAGGTCTCCCGTGTGAGTGCAGGGGCCCAAGCACTGTGGCCCTCTTCCACTGTTTTCTCAGGCCATTAGCAGAGAGCTGGATTATAACAGGAGCAGCTGAGACATGAATGCGGTGCCACAGGTGGATGCTTAACCTATGCCACGGCATAGGCCCCAGATATATTTTTTATAGTCAGTTTTTTCAAGTGAGCAGACAAGGTCCATTGGATCACCTGTCTCTTAAACTGCTTTTAATGTATAAATTCCCCCTATTTTTCCTTTTTTCTTTCTTGCTGATGGGTAGCTTGAATGGATCAAACAGACAACCCCTGAACCCACTGATCAATCTTAACAGCACAAAAGCAGGCAAGTAGACATGTTTTCTGGTGTGATGTAAAAAGAACAAATAACACTAGCTATAAAATACCCTTGTCTGTTAGAAGGCACCCTTCCTGTATTCTAGGATGAAATGTAAACATACAGTTCTTCAACTCAGGGTATTATTTTTTCCTGTTGCACTGAAAAGAAGTAGACTAAATAATTCAGATAAATGCTGTTCCCCTAAATATTAATTTGAGGACTATTTTCTATTTAGCTGTCCCTCCCCAACTCCCAGTGCCAAAATTGAATCTAATTTACCTATGTACTAGTTTACAGGCACTACAAGAGACAAAAGAACATGTTCAATGACTATATAGAAGCAATCAGCCTAATCCAGAATTTGAGAACTTCTAGAAGACAAGCTTGACATTTGGTTTCTTCAACAAAACATTGTTCTCGCAGTTGGGCCTGGAGGAGAGGACTTTGTAGTTGAACACATTCATATGGGTTGCAATGAATGAGGTCCAACTTCCTGTTTCCCTTTTGTGTGAATGCATGTTGCTGTTGCCTGAAGTCGGCTGGAGCAACGGCCCTCTTCTCCCTGTCCCACTCTGCACACTGTCATCCCTGCTCTGAGTGGGCCTGCATTCAACTTCTGGAGACCTCCCCCTTGGGTAGCCCGTCTCCCGCGTGGAGTGAATGGCCCGACGGTTCTGTTTCACCTTTCTTTTCCTTTCCTTTCATCAGCAGCATCGGCTGCTGACATTTCTGAAGGATTCATAAATGTTGCTGGCACCCTTCTCACTTTCCTGCAGCAATGTATGAATTTTCCCTTGATCATTATGGTGAATGATGGGTAGTGCGAGGGAGCCGGACAGATTTAGAATACTGGCTTGAACTGGAAACAGTTGCTCTCAGTTTGAGGCTTTGCTGTAATTTAAGGGAATTTGTAACCACAAGTAAAAGAACATTTAAATAGTGTTACAATTTGTCATAAATTATCCAACTAAAAAACATATTGTGATAAAGTTTCTTTTCCCAGTGCAGCCTCTCATTGGGATAGCTCTAATTGAGGCCAGCATTGTCGCAGGGTTTGAGTGTGTGAGGAATCCAAAACAGTGTTGTACATAGGTAGAACCTATGTACATTGATGGAACACTCTAGTCTACTGTGAAACAAGCCAATCATGTTACATTTAACATATTTCGTTGAGATGGGTTCATAAGGGCTTTTACTCAATAAAGGAATTTTCATATAGTGAAATGAAATTTACTTCCTAGGAGCCACAAAAGATAAATTTAATTCCCCTCATCACATATTCAGATATATAAAACTCCATGTTTCCATGACAAACCTTTGTAATCCTCTGTGGTATCTGTGGTCAAGATTCCTTTCTCAGTCTTTCTTAGCTGAATCCTACTTTTGAGTGTCCTTCATGTCTTGTAGATGTGATTTTCTATAGAAAGCTTTAAGTGGTCTGGATAAACTCTACTCTGCTTCAAAAGGCTATGGTGCAGAAATTACGATGCTTAAATTAGTGTGATAAATAGCTCCCCTGCCTTCCCCCCCCCCCCACTGGCCCACAAAATAAAGAACAGAGCCCACTCAGTGTTCTGTCCAAGGGTTTAATGGTATGATCCATAGTAAGCAATGAGTCACAGAACTAAACTCACAAAGTTATTTTCCCTTTAAAAAATGCTCTTGTTTGCCAAAAGTACTCTTTTATGTCTTCTTTTTTTTTTTTTTTTTGGACAGGCAGAGTGGACAGTGAGAGAGAGAGACAGAGACAGAGAGAAAGGTCTTCCTTTGCTGTTGGTTCACCCTCCAATGGCCGCTGCAGCCCGCGCGCTGCAGCCGGCGCACCGCGCTGATCCGATGGCAGGAGCCAGGTGCTTCTCCTGGTCTCCCATGCGGGTGCAGGGCCCAAGGGTTTGGGCCATCCTCCACTGCACTCCCTGGCCACAGCAGAGAGCTGGCCTGGAAGAGGGGTGACCGGGACAGAATCTGGTGCCCCAACCGTGACTAGAACCCGGTGTGCCGGCGCCGCAAGGCAGAGGATTAGCCTAGTGAGCCGCGGTGCAGGTTTCTTTTATGTCTTTTAATGTGTGTTTTCATCTACTTGAAAGTCAGGGAGACAGATGTTCCATTCACTGAATCACTCCCTAAATGCCCACAACAGCCAGGGCCGGACCAGGCTCAAGCCAGGATCCCAGAACTTCATCCAGGTCTCCATGTTGGCCATCTGCTGTCTC